ATGAGTACCTCGCAGTTATCTAACTTATTACCGCTCTTTTGCGGGGAAGTCGAGAAAAGTCTACATTTCTGGGGGCATATGACATTCTTTACAGTAGTGACAATCGAATGATTCGAACAATTTTATGCCGAAATCACTACGTTTTGCCAGATATTGAACTTCAAATAGTAGATCGTCAAATAAGGAAAGTTTAGAATATTTTATCTGCTTAAAAATATGACGATTTTCAATGAAAATTAAACGAGAAGAGTCCGCTTTATTAAAAATATCGTTAAAAAATGTGACAATTTAGAACTGGTTCCTCTCAAAAATATATTAGGCTGGTTCAGCGATTGTTCAGTGATGTATTCTACCAGGATTTCTTACTTGTCTGTCCTTTTAAATGCTAAAATGATCGATCTTGCATTGTGTTGAATAGCACATTGCCCCCACCCAACAGACGATTCCTACCTCCTTCGCGAAAGAGTTCCGCTAAGTTAAGTAATCGCGATATCAAGTATTGTCATTGCATAGCTTAAATATTTGAACAACAACTCAATCTGTGTTGAAATCTTTGCTTCTTATTTTACTCTCTGTACGTCGTCCGATAATTATATTATCAATGTTATGCATAATTTAAAAGTCATAGGCCTCGAAACCGGGATGGGGGGGGGGGGGCTCTAGGAAGGTTTGCATAGCCCCTAATTTTTCTTTTGCTAATGTAGCCCTTATAAACACTTTGATCATGAAAATTAGGGTTTATCTGTTTTGTTGATTTACACTACTGAATTAAATATCCCCTTAGATTCCAAAAAAATCCCCTGTTGTCCCCCTGTCAGTCCCTGACATTTTCCTGTCTCTCCCTGACTTTCTCCTATGATCCCCTGTCGTTGTCCCTGCTCTCCCTGTCCAGTCCCTGTCGTCCCCTGTCGTTGTCCCTGCCCTCCCTGTCTACTCCCTGTCGTCCCCTGACATTCTCTGATCTCCCTGTCCAGTCCCTGTCGTCCCCTGTCGTTGTCCCTGCCCTCCCTGTCTACTCCCTGTCGTCCCCTAACATTCTCTGATCTCCCTGTTCAGTCCCTGTCGTCCCCTGTCGTTGTCCCTGCTCTCCCTGTCAATTCCCTGTTGTCCCTTGACATTCTCTGATCTCCCTGTCCAGTCCCTGTCGTCCCCTGTCGTTGTCCCTGTCCAGTCCCTGTCTACTCCCTGTCGTCCCCTGACATTTATTTTGGCCAAGGAAAGGAGTTTAAAAATATTTTTGTTGCATTTAAGAGTGAAAAATGATATAGTCTTGAAAACTTTAGGAATTTTTTTTGAAAATGTAGACTTAAATAGTAAAAAGATAACACATTTTCAAATGCCTTAACTAAATCCCCTGTAATGTAGTTTCTATTACTTGTATCGATGTGATTTTGTTTTAGTTTTTGAAGCATTTCGGGGAAGAACGGCAGAGAATAGCATCAATTCTAAAGAAAAAATAAATTACCCATTTTTTTTCATCTTGTGATGCTAGATGGCATATACATTGAACTTTTGGAATCTTTTATATATATTTATAAACTTTTTAATTTTTTATTTGATCTATTTTGAAATATCTTTAAGCGTAATGACTGTCCTTGTAAAAGAACTAAATTTAAACATTTGGAATAAATTATCAAATCCATGCATGGTATATTTTTTTTTCAAAGATTTAAATGAATAAAAATTAATTGAAAGGAATTATATATAAACGCATTAATAAAATAAATGTCTATTCAATAAATAAAAATTATTAAATAAACTTAAAATATATTTTATTCACTTATTCTCTTATGTGAATAAATCTACAAATCGACTGAATAAATAAATAAATAAATAAATAAATAAATAAATAAATAAATAAATAAATAAATAAATAAATAAATAAATAAATAAATGAATGAATGATCGAATGAATGAATGAATGAATGAATGAATGAATGATTAAATAAATAAATAAATAAATAAATAAATAAATAAATAAATAAAGAATTACATAAATTTATTTGTTTATTTTTTAATTTATCACTCATTTATATCCCCAAAATTTGATTTATTAGTTTTATGTTATTTATTTGTTTAAATATGCTACAGAGTATTTTATAAGCATATTTAAACGACTTTTTATTACTTAAAGTCCATGATGGATAACAAAATAGTCGTCTCATTATGCACAATATTAATCTGTCAATTAGATTTTCGATACTTTGTGTTGATTATAAAATCGGTTTTCAAAACCCTAACACGGTTCTGAAACAACATCAAAGCCATTGATTTGTACCAGTAATTAACTCGGGGTACACAGTCATGACACCTATTATCTTTTTCACTGACCGCTATACATTGTTTATGTTGTGGCGGGTCGACCGTTTGTACTTTGCAACTGTTTGAAATAACATTTTCTCTTTGAATGAGAACTTATGTTTTATTAATCAAAACAAAATAAAAGTATCAAGGAATCTCTTCACGGGTATAGATTGTGCATAATGAGATGAATAATTTGATATCCATCATGGAAGTAAAATAATTAAAAGCCGATTTAATATGCTTAAAAAATACTTTGACACAGATTTTTTCGTAAATAGTTTTAAATAAAATAAACCCAAAAAAAATCCCCATGTTCGGGTATTTGATTATTTCATTTGCTTGTATCGTCAGTTTAACTCGGGGTAAAAAGATTGTTTTTATATTACATAAAATGCAGAAATTTTTTTTTGTTTACTAACTATTTAAAATCAATTATTATATTGATTTAAAAAACTTAATTATTTCAAAATGCACCAATACCCCCTGCTGTCTCTCTCTATTATGAAAAAAAAAATAAATGAATTATGAAAAAAAAATTATAATAAAATAAATCTTTTTTTTTTTTTGAAATTGAAAATACAACAAATTAATGAATCATTTATCTGCAAGAAATTGTGTTCCTTTAGTTTTATTTTATATAAACACTTGCATCCGTAGATGTGCTACAAAGTATTTTAATAGCGTATTAAAACGACTTTTCATTATTTTAAGTACATGATGGATATAAAATTAATCGTCTCATTATGCACATTATTAATCTGTCAATTAGATTTTTGATACTTTGTTTTGATTTAAAAAATCAGTTTTCAAAACCCTTACACGGTTCTGAAACAACATCAAAGCCATTGATGTGTACCAGTAATTAACTCGAGGTTCACAATCATGACACCTATTATCTTTTTCACTGACCGCTATACATTGTTTATGTTGTGGCAGGACGACCGTGTATAGTTTGCAGCTGTTTGAGATTACATTTTCTCTTTGTATGAGAACGTTTTTTTTAAATCAAAACAAAAGAAAAGTATCAGAGAAGCTACTGAAAGCTTCAGATTGTGCATAATGAGACAATTATTTTGATATCCATCATGGAAGTAAAATAATTAAAAGCCGATTTAATATTCTTAAAAAATACTTTGACACAGATTTTTTCGTACATTGTTTTACATAAAAAAAAAAAAAAACAAAAAAAAAACTCCTATGTTCAGGTATTTGATTATTTTATTTGTTTGTATCGTCAATTTTACAAATAAAAAAGATTGTTTGTATATTACATAAAATGCAGTTAGTTTTTTTTTTTGTTTACTAACTATTTAAAATCAATTATTAAACTGATTTTAAAAACTTAATTATTTCAAAATTCACTAATACCCCCTGCTGTCTCTCTCTTTTTTCTTTCTTTTTCTTACAACAAAGTCAAATCAGTATTTAACGAATAAAACAGATTGAATTTTAAGCGAAATAAATTCATAGTAAATAATTAAAATAAAATAAGTGAATAATGAAAAAAAAATATTAATAAAAAATGAAAATACAACAAATTAATGAATCATTTATAGCTGCAAAAAATTGTTTTCCTTTAGTTTTATTTTATATAAACACTTGCATCCGTAGATGTGCTACAAAGTATTTTAAGTAAAGTGAAATTTTGTGTGTTTTCTAGCATTACTATTCATTGCTATTCATAGTTTGTTATTTCCGTGATGAATTAAATGTCCGAGTCAGAAAAGCGTCGTCGTCAGTCATCCGATGGGCAGACACCAAAACCTCAGGCAAAGAAAATGGCAAGTTCGACTGGGAATCCAGAAAACTCAAATTTAGATTGGACGGACCGGATGATTATCATTGGGCAGGCTATCGAGAATTTACAGAAAGGTCAGTTACAGTTACAAAAGTCTTTGGATAGTAAATTGGATAAATTCCGAAATGAATTTCTATCAAGTATTGACGAGAAACTCAAAGCTATAAAAAGCGATATTGACCTTGAACTTGGCAGTCAACAAAAACAAATCGATGTCCTGTCACAGTCCATCGATTCCATTCTGGGGCGACTTGATAAAGTTGAGAAAATAGAACGACCGGTATTAGAAAATAGTTCAGTCCCAATAGCCTGTGCAGGTTTTGCGTCAAGCCACGATCCGCTAAATGACCCGGAAGTTACAATAATTGCGACCAATGTTGAACAAGAGGCAAATGAAAATATTTTAGAAATCGCCAATGATCTGGTAAGATGTCTTCATGATTCGGTAAATGTAGTAGCAGCGGCTCGTTTAAAAAGTAGAAAATCTGGAAGGCCAGGGATAATAAAGATAAGTTTTTCAAATCTGGAAGAGAAAAAACAAATTCTGCGGGAAAAACAGACACTCAGATTAATAGAAAAATACAAAAATGTTTATCTTCGAGGTAGCAAATCACATACCGAGAGAATCTTGGAATTAAATGCTCGCACGTTGTTAAACGAACTCCCAGATGGAAAACAGTACCGAATTACTGCTAGTGGTCGCATTGTCAAGAAAACACAGACGGAAAAGAACGCACCGCATCATGTGCAGCACAACCTGGGGGATGAGGACACTGGATAGGAAGTGGCCCGGTCTATTGAACATACCATTAAATTTAGTCACATCAATGTAGGTGGGTGGACGGTTAACAACCATGATTTAAGGGTGTCCCTTATTGAACATATAAATGCGGATATAATGAGCATTAATGAAACCCATCTTAAAGATAATGAGAAATTAGAATTGAACGATCTTGGATATGAATGGTTTGGATACAACAGAAATTCTAAGCATATTCGTGCACCAAAAACATTTGGCGGAGTAGGAATTTTGGTTAGGAAAACAATATTACAGCATTTTATGGTTCGTGTTAATGACAAGTCATATGAAGGTATCTTGGGGTTGGAATTTAAACACAAAGAATCGGACATTCGGTTTGCTGTCTACTCTTGTTACCTTCCCCCAGAAAATTCTAATTGGGGACGTGATGCAGAAAAGTTTTTTTCGCATATTTTGGCGCAGATTTATTTGAATTATGACATGGATGCCATATTTGTTCTCGGAGATTTAAACTCACGAATTGGACATTCCAAAGATTTTAGTTGTGAATTCGACAATATCAGGGATAGATGCGTAATTGATAATGTTTGCAACAAACATGGGGACTCATTCGTAGAATTCCTAAATGATAGTAAATTTTGTGTTTTAAATGGACGATTTGGAGAAAAATCGAACCGATTCACTTCCATCTCGACCAGAGGGAAAGCTGTTGTCGATTATGCATGTATACCTCATGATGTTTTACCACATTGTACGGAATTCCAAATAGTGTCATGCGGGAGTATTAAAGAAGACAAAGGCATACAATCCGCTCTAGGAACTAAATGTAAATGTCCAGATCATGCATTTTTGGTGTTTGACTATCAGTACAGGTTTGAAGCAAAGGATATACTTAAACAAATGCATCCTACGGATAAACTTATTGAGAACAATTTGTGTGATAAGTCACGGAAACATTTTAAATTAAAAAGTATCCCCCCTGATTTTATGTGTTCAGACCTTGTGAAAACTTCCTTATTAGAATTGATTAGAAATATTGAACTGTGTAGAGAAACACAGAAGGAAATTGATGATATCTATTCAAAATTTTGTGAAATAACAGTCAAAGAAATGGAGAGAAAAATACCGCACAAAGACTGCTCAAAACGAACTCGGAAAAAATTGCGACAAACTAAACCTTACTGGAATGATGAACTTACTAGTCTATGGAAAGATATGCGTAATAAAGAAAAGATTTTTCTAAAGGAAAAAGATCATAAACGGAAACGAAATGCTAGATTGGACTTTTCTTCTTCACAAAAAGAATTTGACAAAAGGTTAAGTTTTTATGAAAGGAAATATAGATCGGACCTTGCACTTGAAATAGAGAAAATTTCAACTGAAAATCCTAGAAAATTTTGGGATCAGCTTGACAAACTTGGCCCTAGAAAGAAAAATATGATACCAATGGAAATTTATAAAGAAAACGGTGAAACAACGTCGGGCATAGATGAAGTACTTCGTAAATGGGAGAATGATTTTTCAAATCTATACGCTCAAAGTGTTTCAAATTTTGATAATTCATTTTATAACACTGCATTACAACATAGGCAAATGCTAGAAGATATTATGATTGACCCTCTTTATGTACCAAACACGTATTTAAACGAAAATATTTCACGTGAGGAAGTCGCACAGGTTGTTTTGCATTCCAAGGACGGGAAAGCTGCGGGAATAGATCTACTCTATAATGAAGTCATGAAAAACAATGATATCATTTCAGTGTTACACAAATTATTTCAATTGTGCTTTGAAATCGGTAAAGTGCCTTCTATATGGAGAATGGCAATTATACACCCTATTCCAAAAAGTTCACAACTAGATCAACGAATCCCTTTAAACTTCCGTGGAAGTTTGCTTTCAGTAGTAGCCAAATTCTATAGTTCTATTTTAAAGAACAGACTACAAACATATCTGGAAGATAATTCTATTTTAGTTGACGAGCAAAATGGTTTCCGTAGAGAAAGATCTTGCGTAGATCATGTGTTTGTATTAAATAGTATAATTCAGAACCGAAAGTCAACATTCGCAACGTTTATAGATTTCCAAAAAGCATTTGATCTGGTGGACAGGCAACTGTTACAATATAAGCTTAGGCTCAATGGAATTGATGGTGATATGTATAATGCCATTTCTAGCCTTTATCTATTGACTGAATCCTGTGTGCCTTTGAATAATTTTCATACAAGTTGGTTCACTAGTCAAAACGGAGTTCGCCAGGGAGATAATTTATCACCTACACTATTCTCAATTTTTATCAACGACCTAGCAGTGAATATTAAAGTCGATATAAAAATGAACCCTTAAGTGAAAGAACGTGTGTTTTCTGTTCTAGTTCCGTTGTTGAAGACGAAAAACATTTCTTATTAGACTGTCAATTGTATAATAATGTTAGGAAAAAATATTTTGATAGCGTGTACAAAGAGCACCCAAATAGTAATGATAATAATTATTTGTTCAAAGTTCTAAATCAAAATTACCAAACAAAGTTAGCCAAATTTGTACATACAGCATATAACTATAGAAAAAATCTTCTGCATGTGTAAATTTATATAAATGTTATTAATGGAAAAAGTGACTTACAGGTCCAGTGGGCCGGGTGCAGATTCAGTATGACGTATTTTGTTTACACTGTATATTGAAATGTCTAAAATGCACAATGTCACTATAATAAATGATTACTTACTTACTTACTTACTTACTTACTTATTTTATCAGTGTATTAAAATGACTTTTCATTACTTTAAGTACATGATTGATATCAAAATAATCGTCTCATTATGCACAATATTAATCTGTCATTTACATTTTTGATACTTTGTTTTGATTTAAAAAATCGGTTTTCAAAACCCTTACACGGTTCTGAAACAACATCAAAGCCATTGATGTGTACCAGTAATTAACTCGAGGTTCACAATCATGACACCTATTATCTTTTTCACTGACCGCTATACATTGTTTATGTTGTGACAGGACGACCGTGTATAGTTTGCAGCTGTTTGAGATTACATTTTCTCTTTGTATGAGAACGTTTTTTTAAATCAAAACAAAAGAAAAGTATCAGAGAAGCTACTGACGGCTTCAGATTGTGCATAATGAGACAATTATTTTGATATCCATCATGGAAGTAAAATAATTAAAAGCCGATTTAATATTCTTAAAAAATACTTTGATACATATTTATCGTAAATCATTTTACATTGAATATGCCAAACAAACCCCATTTTCGGGTATATGATTATTTAGTTTACTTGTATCGTCAATTTTAAAAATAATAAACATTGTTTTTATAATGATTAAATACATGCAGTTAATAAGTTTATCATTTTATTTATTTACTAAGTTCCTAAACAAATAAATGTATTGGTTTTAAACAATAAAATATTCTAAAATGCACCAATACCCCATCTGATTTTTTTTCTCTAACAAATGGTACAAAGTCAATCCAGTACTTAATGAATAAAACAGATTACAGCGAAATAAATACATAGTAAATAAATGAAATAAAATAATAAAAAAATAATAAAAGAATTGTAATTGTCAAATTATTTTTTTAAAATGAAAATACAACAAATAAGTCAATCAGTTATATCCGCGAGAAATTGTTTTTCTTTATTTTTTATTTAATTCATGATTAAGTCATTAAATAATGGTGTGACTTTCTACCTTTTGTAAGAAAACAAAAAAGAAGAAAAGAAAGAAGGGATCTTGACGCATTTCGGAATATTTTAGTTTTTAAAATCAATGCAATAATTGATTTAAGATAGTTAGTAAATAAACAAATAAATAAACTAATTAACTTCATGTATTTAATCATTATATAAACAATGTTTTTATTTTTAAAAATGACAATGAGATTTTTTTGGCTTATTTTATGTAAAACTATTTACGAAAAAAAATGTTTCAAAGTATTTTTGAAGCATATTAAATCTGCTTTTAATTATTTTACTCCCATGATGGATATCAAAATAATCGTTTCATTGTGCACAATCTTAACCCGTCAATAGTTTTTTTGATACTTTTATTTTGTTTTGAATGAAAAAATCAGTTCTCGGACGAAGAGAAAATGTAATTTAAAAGAGCTGCAAACTACACACGGTCATCCTGCCACAACATAAACAAGGTATAGCGGTCAGTGAAAACGATAATAGGTGTCATGACCGTGTACCCCGAGTTAATTACTGGTAAACATCAATTTCTTTGATGTTGTTTCAGAACCGTGTTAAGGTTTTGAAAACCGATTTTTTAATCAAATTAATCTATCAAAAATGTAAATGACAGATTAATATTGTGCATAATGAGACGATTATTTTGCTATCCATCATGGACTTAAAGTAATAAAAATTCGTTTAAATATGCTTATAAATACTTTGTAGCATATTTCAGCAAATAAACAAAATAAAACCTATAAAACAAATTATTTATTTATTTATTTATTTATTTATTTATTTATTTATTTATTTATTTATTTATTTATTTATTTATTTATTTAATTATTTAATTATTCGGTCGATTTTTAGATTTATTCACATAAGAAAATAAATGAATAAAGTAGATTTTTAGTTTCTTTAACAATTTTTTTTTTACTGAATAAACGTTTATTTTATTAATGCATCGATATAGCATTGCTTTCAATTATTTTTTATCCATTTAATTCTTTGTAAAAACAAAATATCCAACGCATGGATTTGATAATGTATTCCCAAATGTTTAAGTTTAGTTCTTTTACAAAGACAGTTATAACGCTGAAGGATGTTTCAAAGTAGATGAAAGATGTTTCAAAGTAGATGAAATAAAAAATGAAAAAGTTTGAAAATATGTATATAAGGTTCATAAACCACAATTTATATGCCGTCTGCCATCACCACATGAAATAAATTGGTAATTTATTTCTTCTTTAGAATGATGCAGTTTTCTGCCGTTCTCTCCCCGAAATGCTACCAAACTAAAACAAAATCACATTAATACAAGTGATAGAAACTAAATTACAGGGGTTTAAGTTAAGGCATTTAAAATTGTTTTAACTTTTTTCTAAGTCTGTATTTTCAAAAAAATACTTAAAGTTTTCAAGACTATATCATTTTCCACTCTTAAATGCCAATAAAATTTTTTAGATTTCTTTTCTTGGCCAAAATAAATGTCAGGGGACGACAGGGAGTAGACAGGGACTGGACAGGGACAACGACAGGGGACGACAGGGACTGGACAGGGAGATCAGAGAATGTCAGGGGACGACAGGGAGTAGACAGGGAAGGCAGGGACAACGACAGGGGACGACAGGGACTGGACAGGGAGGGCAGGGACAACGACAGGGGACGACAGGGACTGGACAGGGAGAGCAGGGAGAACGACAGGGGATCATAGGAGAAAGTCAGGGAGAGACAGGAAAATGTCAGGGACTGACAGGGGGACAACGGGGGATTCTTTGGAATCTAAGGGGATATTTAATTCAGTAGTGTTAGTCCTCCCAGAAGTTTTAATTAGCCACCAATTTTCTAGTTGCTTCCAACGCCTATAAAATTTATAGCTAAAATGTATAGTCAATAAAATATATGTCCAAGTTTTGGTTCAACAAGTAAAATACATGAGGAATGTAAATATATGTTTGGAATATGCTGAGATAACGAACAGTATTCTCGGTCAAAGTCCTTAAACGTTACAAAAGAGACGGGAAGCAAACACAGACCTCCAAAGCATCTGAGGTGGGATATTTTTTTTATGTAGGAATACATGTCATGTCTATAGATTGCCAGTTTATTCAAGCTTTACAGATTATTTCTAGTTTCCAATCGTTCCTTTTGAATGATTTGCAACACAAAAATTTTTATATACAGGGATATAATGTCACATGCAATAATTATTGAACAATATTTCAGAGTTGCCAGTCTTAAGATTACAAGGAGCCTCTTCTGAAAATGACGAAGTCACCATTACCTACAGTGTTGTACATGAAGGCTACCAAAAGGTACACAGTATCAAATGGACAAAAGATGGCAATCTTTTGGACTTAAATAAACCAAAATATAGTGGTGGAGATTTGGAAAGCACATGTTTGAAAATCCTCTCACCAGAAGAAAACGACATTGGGGAATATAGTTGTGAAGTACCGAGTATGTTGGGATCTGTAAAGGAATCCTTAACACTAAGTACATATTCTACGTAAATTAACTCTTATTCTCTCGCTCCCTTCTCTGTATGTTATTGAGATGTGTTTTCAAACATATATTGTTAATTAATCTTGAACATTCAACATGTCACCACACGGATAGCGTTTTCATTTATGAATATTTGTCTCCACATTCGCTTTTGTTTAGGATGAATGACCGTCAACACTTAAGCTTTTCTTTTTTCTTCATATTTATTGATTTTAATAGAAACCCTTTCATTTAATTAAGATGTTTCTTTAAATAATTATAATTGTCATTGCATAGCTTAAATATTTGAACAACAACTCAATCTGTGTTGAAATCTTTGCTTCTAATTTTACTCTCTGTACGTCGTCCGATAATTATATTATCAATGTTATGCATAATTTAAAAGTCATAGGCCTCGAAACCGGGATGGGGGGGGGCTCTAGGAAGGTTTGCATAGCCCCTAATTTTTCTTTTGCTAATGTAGCCCTTATATACGCTTTGATCATGAAAATTAGGGTTTATCTGTTTTGTTGATTTAGTCCTCCCAGAAGTTTTAATTAGCCACCCATTTTCTAGTTGCTTCCAAAGCCTATGAAATTTATAGCTAGAAAAATATAAAGATAATGAAATATATGTCCAAGTTCTTGTACAAGCAAGTACGAATCATAAGGAATGTTAATATATGATTAAAATATTCTGCTATAACGAACAGTATTCTCGATCATAGTCCTTAAGCGTCATAAAATAAAAATAGGAACAAACACGGACCTCCAAAGCATCAGAGGGGGGATAACGTTTTTTATGTAGGGATACATGTCTTGTCTATAGATTGCTAGGTTATTCAAGCTTTGAAGATTTTTTCTACTTTCCAAGTGTTGATCGTGAATGATTTGCAACAAAATTTTACACATTATATAGGCTTTGATGAAGAAAATCAGGGTTTACCTTTTTTGTTGATCTACGCCGCCCACATCTTTTAATTGGCCACGCACTTTCAATTTAATTCTAACGCCTATGAAATTTTGAGCTAAAATTTATAGATAATATACACCTATTTACTGGCTATGAGGACAATAGCAAGTTTATCGTCCCCCAAGACAGCAAACCATTTTCCGAGGCGCAGCCGAGGGAAATAGTTTGCTGTCGAGGGGGACGATGAACTTGCTATTGTCCGAATAGTCAGTATAAATAGGTGTTTTATTATACCGATGCTGACTTTACTTTTGTTACGTCATAATTTATACGTCACAATCCATGTAAAATCAGAAGTTTTCAGATGAAAAGCGAGGGAAATCGATTGTTGCCGTTGAATAGTTTGAGGACTATTCACCATGGGCAAATAGCACAAAAACTATTTCACGGTAGAGACTGTTTAGAAAAAATAGCATGTTTATTCGTCTTATTTTTATATAGAAAAAAATAAACAGAGGTATAATAATTAGATATATGTCCAAGTTTTGGTTCAACAAGTAAAATACATGAGGAATGTAAATATACGAGGGTTGTCCCAAAAAGTCGTAGACAGGGAATACAGTTTTGTTTCTCTTTGCTTTTTAAGTTTCTTTCCTTGTCATAGCAAAAAGTAACATTTTATGATCATGCAATTCAAGTTTCTTAATGATATCACATCTTATAAGAAAGTTTTGAAAAAATAAAGAAAGAATATAAGTGTACACCGGCGCACGAAAGCAAGCAAAAATTACGTATTTTATAACGCCGTGATCTCATTGTCTGCTTCACTTGGGTATTAACATTCAATAATTTTTTTAAGTGATAGACCACTCTTGATTACCGGATATATTTAAGTTCACTACTGTCCATTTGATTTTTACTTGTTTTCTTTTTAAAGCAGATCCAAATTTCAGTCAAAATTTAGTCAAAAGATCGCCTCACATTGTAGACAGCAGAGAATACTAATTGTTGGACGTCGTGCGCGGTCCAGATTGTTTCCAATCGTCTGCGTTTATCAAACAGTACTCTACTTCTTACATGCCGTAATTAACTATTTTTGAAACAGAAGAAAAACTCTCATTGAATAGCGTGCAATTTAAAAATAACTTCTTTATTGAAATCTGGTGTGAAATGTCACTTCTGTACTCTTTTTTCCCGTCTCTGATGTATATTAACCATACCCAACACAATTTATCACATCTCCGTGCGCCGACAAAGCGTTTGACGACGTCATTTTCATCATACTCAATTTCAACGATACTATGAAAATCATGACACCAATCGTCTGTTTCTAATGATATTTATATGAAATTTTGACATAATATTAATTTTTTTATTATGGTTTCAGTGATTTCAATTTGAGTTCAATGCATTACATAGTACTAAAGAAATAAAAGCAAATGTAATAGTTATATGCGTAAATTATTCCGAATTTTGTCCGTGCGCCGACAGGCCTTATCGGCCTTCATATAAATCGTTCTTATATTATTTATATGAAATATATGTATTTAAAAATTTACAATTTTAAAGAACATTGACTATATTATGTCTCTGCAAAATTTGGTAAGTATTGGTTGCATGTTTAAAAAATTATAAACATTGTCTACGACTTTTTGGGACAACCCTCGTATGTTTGGAATATGCTGAGATAACGAACAGTATTCTCGGTCAAAGTCCTTAAACGTTACAAAAGAGACGGGAAGCAATCACGGACCTCCAAAGCATCTGAGGTGGGATATTTTTTTTTTATGTAGGAATACATGTCATGTCTATAGATTGCCAGTTTATTCAAGCTTTACAGATTATTTCTTGTTTCCAATCGGTGCTTTTGAATGATTTGCAACACAAAAATTATTACATACAGGGATATAATGTCACATGCAATAATTATTGAACAATATTTCAGAGTTGCCAGTCTTAAGATTACAAGGAGCCTCTTCTGAAAATGACGAAGTCACCATTTCCTACAGTGTTGTACATGAAGGCTACCAAAAGGTACACAGTATCAAATGGACAAAAGATGGCAATCTTTTGGACTTAAATAAACCAAAATATAGTGGTGGAGATTTGGAAAGCACATGTTTGAAAATCCTCTCACCAGAAGAAGACGACATTGGGGAATATGGTTGTGAAGTACCGAGTATTTTGGGATCTGTAAAGGAATCCTTAACACTAAGTACATATTCTACGTAAATTAACTCTTATTCTCTCGATCTCTTCTCTGTATGTTATTGAGATGTGTTTTCAAACATAAATTGTTAATTAATCTTGAACATTCAACATGTCACCACACGGATAGCGTTTTCATTTATGAATATTTGTGTCCATATTCGCTTTTGTTTAGGATGAATGACCGTCAACACTTAAGCTTTTCTTTTTTCTTCATATTTATTGATTTTGATAGAAACCCTTTCATTTAATTAATATGTTTCTTTAAATAATTATAATTGTCATTGCATAGCTTAAATATTTGAACAACAACTCAATCTGTGTTGAAATCTTTGCTTCTAATTTTACTCTCTGTACGTCGTCCGATAATTATATTATCAATGTTATGCATAATTTAAAAGTCATAGGCCTCGAAACCGGGATGGGGGGGGGGGGGGGGGGGCTCTAGGAAGGTTTGCATAGCCCCTAATTTTTCTTTTGCTAATGTAGCCCTTATATACACTTTGATCATGAAAATTAGGGTTTATCTGTTTTGTTGATTTAGTCCTCCCAGAAGTTTTAATTAGCCACCCATTTTCTAGTTGCTTCCAAAGCCTATGAAATTTATAGCTAGAAAAATATAAAGATAATGAAATATATGTCCAAGTTCTTGTACAAGCAAGTACGAATCATAAGGAATGTTAATATATGATTAAAATATTCTGCTATAACGAACAGTATTCTCGATCATAGTCCTTAAGCGTCATAAAATAAAAATAGGAACAAACACGGACCTCCAAAGCATCAGAGGGGGGATAACGTTTTTTATGTAGGGATACATGTCTTGTCTATAGATTGCTAGGTTATTCAAGCTTTGAAGATTTTTTCTACTTTCCAAGTGTTGATCGTGAATGATTTGCAACAAAATTTTACACATTATATAGGCTTTGATGAAGAAAATCAGGGTTTACCTTTTTTGTTGATCTACGCCGCCCACATCTTTTAATTGGCCACGCACTTTCAATTTAATTCTAACGCCTATGAAATTTTGAGCTAAAATTTATAGATAATATACACCTATTTACTGGCTATCAGGACAATAGCAAGTTTATCGTCCCCCAAGACAGCAAACTATTTTCCGAGGCGCAGCCGAGGGAAATAGTTTGCTGTCGAGGGGGACGATGAACTTGCTATTGTCCGAATAGTCAGTATAAATAGGTGTTTTATTATACCGATGCTGACTTTACTTTTGTTACGTCATAATTTATACGTCACAATCCATGTAAAATCAGAAGTTTTCAGATGAAAAGCGAGGGAAATCGATTGTTGCCGTTGAATAGTTTGAGGACTATTCACCATGGGCAAATAGCACAAAAACTATTTCACGGTAGAGACTGTTTAGAAAAAATAGCATGTTTATTCGTCTTATTTTTATATAGAAAAAAATAAACAGAGGTATAATAATTAGATATATGTCCAAGTTTTGGTTCAACAAGTAAAATACATGAGGAATGTAAATATACGAGGGTTGTCCCAAAAAGTCGTAGACAGGGAATACAGTTTTGTTTCTCTTTGCTTTTTAAGTTTCTTTCCTTGTCATAGCAAAAAGTAACATTTTATGATCATGCAATTCAAGTTTCTTAATGATATCACATCTTATAAGAAAGTTTTGAAAAAATAGAAAAAGAATATAAGTGTACACCGGCGCACGAAAGCAAGCAAAAATTACGTATTTTATAACGCCGTGATCTCATTGTCTGCTTCACTTGGGTATTAACATTCAATAATTTTTTTAAGTGATAGACCACTCTTGATTACCGGATATATTTAAGTTCACTACTGTCCATTTGATTTTTACTTGTTTTCTTTAAGCAGATCCAAATTTCAGTCAAAATTTAGTCAAAAGATCGCCTCACATTGTAGACAGCAGAGAATACTAATTGTTGGACGTCGTGCGCGGTCCAGATTGTTTCCAATCGTCTGCGTTTATCAAACAGTACTCTACTTCTTACATGCCGTAATTAACTATTTTTGAAACAGAAGAAAAACTCTCATTGAATAGCGTGCAATTTAAAAATAACTTCTTTATTGAAATCTGGTGTGAAATGTCACTTCTGTACTCTTTTTTCCCGTCTCTGATGTATATTAACCATACCCAACACAATTTATCACATCTCCGTGCGCCGACAAAGCGTTTGACGACGTCATTTTCATCATACTCAATTTCAACGATACTATGAAAATCATGACACCAATCGTCTGTTTCTAATGATATTTATATGAAATTTTGACATAATATTAATTTTTTTATTATGGTTTCAGTGATTTCAATTTGAGTTCAATGCATTACATAGTACTAAAGAAATAAAAGCAAATGTAATAGTTATATGCGTAAATTATTCCGAATTTTGTCCGTGCGCCGACAGGCCTTATCGGCCTTCATATAAATCGTTCTTATATTATTTATATGAAATATATGTATTTAAAAATTTACAATTTTAAAGAACATTGACTATATTATGTCTCTGCAAAATTTGGTAAGTATTGGTTGCATGTTTAAAAAATTATAAACATTGTCTACGACTTTTTGGGACAACCCTCGTATGTTTGGAATATGCTGAGATAACGAACAGTATTCTCGGTCAAAGTCCTTAAACGTTACAAAAGAGACGGGAAGCAATCACGGACCTCCAAAGCATCTGAGGTGGGATATTTTTTTTTATGTAGGAATACATGTCATGTCTATAGATTGCCAGTTTATTCAAGCTTTACAGATTATTTCTTGTTTCCAATCGGTGCTTTTGAATGATTTGCAACACAAAAATTATTACATACAGGGATATAATGTCACATGCAATAATTATTGAACAATATTTCAGAGTTGCCAGTCTTAAGATTACAAGGAGCCTCTTCTGAAAATGACGAAGTCACCATTTCCTACAGTGTTGTACATGAAGGCTACCAAAAGGTACACAGTATCAAATGGACAAAAGATGGCAATCTTTTGGACTTAAATAAACCAAAATATAGTGGTGGAGATTTGGAAAGCACATGTTTGAAAATCCTCTCACCAGAAGAAGACGACATTGGGGAATATGGTTGTGAAGTACCGAGTATTTTGGGATCTGTAAAGGAATCCTTAACACTAAGTACATATTCTACGTAAATTAACTCTTATTCTCTCGATCTCTTCTCTGTATGTTATTGAGATGTGTTTTCAAACATAAATTGTTAATTAATCTTGAACATTCAACATGTCACCACACGGATAGCGTTTTCATTTATGAATATTTGTGTCCATATTCGCTTTTGTTTAGGATGAATGACCGTCAACACTTAAGCTTTTCTTTTTTCTTCATATTTATTGATTTTGATAGAAACCCTTTCATTTAATTAATATGTTTCTTTAAATAATTATAATTGTCATTGCATAGCTTAAATATTTGAACAACAACTCAATCTGTGTTGAAATCTTTGCTTCTAATTTTACTCTCTGTACGTCGTCCGATAATTATATTATCAATGTTATGCATAATTTAAAAGTCATAGGCCTCGAAACCGGGATGGGGGGGGGGGCTCTAGGAAGGTTTGCATAGCCCCTAATTTTTCTTTTGCTAATGTAGCCCTTATATACACTTTGATCATGAAAATTAGGGTTTATCTGTTTTGTTGATTTAGTCCTCCCAGAAGTTTTAATTAGCCACCCATTTTCTAGTTGCTTCCAAAGCCTATGAAATTTATAGCTAGAAAAATATAAAGATAATGAAATATATGTCCAAGTTCTTGTACAAGCAAGTACGAATCATAAGGAATGTTAATATATGATTAAAATATTCTGCTATAACGAACAGTATTCTCGATCATAGTCCTTAAGCGTCATAAAATAAAAATAGGAACAAACACGGACCTCCAAAGCATCAGAGGGGGGATAACGTTTTTTATGTAGGGATACATGTCTTGTCTATAGATTGCTAGGTTATTCAAGCTTTGAAGATTTTTTCTACTTTCCAAGTGTTGATCGTGAATGATTTGCAACAAAATTTTACACATTATATAGGCTTTGATGAAGAAAATCAGGGTTTACCTTTTTTGTTGATCTACGCCGCCCACATCTTTTAATTGGCCACGCACTTTCAATTTAATTCTAACGCCTATGAAATTTTGAGCTAAAATTTATAGATAATATACACCTATTTACTGGCTATCAGGACAATAGCAAGTTTATCGTCCCCCAAGACAGCAAACTATTTTCCGAGGCGCAGCCGAGGGAAATAGTTTGCTGTCGAGGGGGACGATGAACTTGCTATTGTCCGAATAGTCAGTATAAATAGGTGTTTTATTATACCGATGCTGACTTTACTTTTGTTACGTCATAATTTATACGTCACAATCCATGTAAAATCAGAAGTTTTCAGATGAAAAGCGAGGGAAATCGATTGTTGCCGTTGAATAGTTTGAGGACTATTCACCATGGGCAAATAGCACAAAAACTATTTCACGGTAGAGACTGTTTAGAAAAAATAGCATGTTTATTCGTCTTATTTTTATATAGAAAAAAATAAACAGAGGTATAATAATTAGATATATGTCCAAGTTTTGGTTCAACAAGTAAAATACATGAGGAATGTAAATATACGAGGGTTGTCCCAAAAAGTCGTAGACAGGGAATACAGTTTTGTTTCTCTTTGCTTTTTAAGTTTCTTTCCTTGTCATAGCAAAAAGTAACATTTTATGATCATGCAATTCAAGTTTCTTAATGATATCACATCTTATAAGAAAGTTTTGAAAAAATAAAGAAAGAATATAAGTGTACACCGGCGCACGAAAGCAAGCAAAAATTACGTATTTTATAACGCCGTGATCTCATTGTCTGCTTCACTTGGGTATTAACATTCAATAATTTTTTTAAGTGATAGACCACTCTTGATTACCGGACATATTTAAGTTCACTACTGTCCATTTGATTTTTACTTGTTTTTTTTTTTAAAGCAGATCCAAATTTCAGTCAAAATTTAGTCGAAAGATCGCCTCACATTGTAGACAGCAGAGAATACTAATTGTTGGACGTCGTGCGCGGTCCAGATTGTTTCCAATCGTCTGCGTTTATCAAACAGTACTCTACTTCTTACATGCCGTAATTAACTATTTTTGAAACAGAAGAAAAACTCTCATTGAATAGCGTGCAATTTAAAAATAACTTCTTTATTGAAATCTGGTGTGTAACGTCACTTCTGTACTCTTTTTTCCCGTCTCTGATGTATATTAACCATACCCAACACAATTTATCACATCTCCGTGCGCCGACAAAGCGTTTGACGACGTCATTTTCATCATACTCAATTTCAACGATACTATGAAAATCATGACACCAATCGTCTGTTTCTAATGATATTTATATGAAATTTTGACATAATATTAATTTTTTTATTATGGTTTCAGTGATTTCAATTTGAGTTCAATGCATTACATAGTACTAAAGAAATAAAAGCAAATGTAATAGTTATATGCGTAAATTATTCCGAATTTTGTCCGTGCGCCGACAGGCCTTATCGGCCTTCATATAAATCGTTCTTATATTATTTATATGAAATATATGTATTTAAAAATTTACAATTTTAAAGAACATTGACTATATTATATCTCTGCAAAATTTGGTAAGTATTGGTTGCATGTTTAAAAAATTATAAACATTGTCTACGACTTTTTGGGACAACCCTCGTATGTTTGGAATATGCTGAGATAACGAACAGTATTCTCGGTCAAAGTCCTTAAACGTTACAAAAGAGACGGGAAGCAATCACGGACCTCCAAAGCATCTGAGGTGGGATATTTTTTTTTATGTAGGAATACATGTCATGTCTATAGATTGCCAGTTTATTCAAGCTTTACAGATTATTTCTTGTTTCCAATCGGTGCTTTTGAATGATTTGCAACACAAAAATTATTACATACAGGGATATAATGTCACATGCAATAATTTTTGAACAATATTTCAGAGTTGCCAGTCTTAAGATTACAAGGAGCCTCTTCTGAAAATGACGAAGTCACCATTTCCTACAGTGTTGTACATGAAGGCTACCAAAAGGTACACAGTATCAAATGGACAAAAGATGGCAATCTTTTGGACTTAAATAAACCAAAATATAGTGGTGGAGATTTGGAAAACACATGTTTGAAAATCCTCTCACCAGAAAAAGACGACATTGGGGAATATGGTTGTGAAGTACCGAGTATTTTGGGATCTGTAAAGGAATCCTTAACACTAAGTACATATTCTACGTAAATTAACTCTTATTCTCTCGATCTCTTCTCTGTATGTTATTGAGATGTGTTTTCAAACATATATTGTTAATTAATCTTGAACATTCAACATGTCACCACACGGATAGCGTTTTTATTTATGAATATTTGTGTCCATATTCGCTTTTGTTTAGGATGAATGACCGTCAACACTTAAGCTTTTCTTTTTTCTTCATATTTATTGATTTTGATAGAAACCCTTTCATTTAATTAATATGTTTCTTTAAATAATTATAATTGTCATTGCATAGCTTAAATATTTGAACAACAACTCAATCTGTGTTGAAATCTTTGCTTCTAATTTTACTCTCTGTACGTCGTCCGATAATTATATTATCAATGTTATGCATAATTTAAAAGTCATAGGCCTCGAAACCGGGATGGGGGGGGGGTTCTCTAGGAAGGTTTGCATAGCCCCTAATTTTTCTTTTGCTAATGTAGCCCTTATATACACTTTGATCATGAAAATTAGGGTTTATCTGTTTTGTTGATTTAGTCCTCCCAGAAGTTTTAATTAGCCACCCATTTTCTAGTTGCTTCCAAAGCCTATGAAATTTATAGCTAGAAAAATATAAAGATAATGAAATATATGTCCAAGTTCTTGTACAAGCAAGTACGAATCATAAGGAATGTTAATATATGATTAAAATATTCTGCTATAACGAACAGTATTCTCGATCATAGTCCTTAAGCGTCATAAAATAAAAATAGGAACAAACACGGACCTCCAAAGCATCAGAGGGGGGATAACGTTTTTTATGTAGGGATACATGTCTTGTCTATAGATTGCTAGGTTATTCAAGCTTTGAAGATTTTTTCTACTTTCCAAGTGTTGATCGTGAATGATTTGCAACAAAATTTTACACATTATATAGGCTTTGATGAAGAAAATCAGGGTTTACCTTTTTTGTTGATCTACGCCGCCCACATCTTTTAATTGGCCACGCACTTTCAATTTAATTCTAACGCCTATGAAATTTTGAGCTAAAATTTATAGATAATATACACCTATTTACTGGCTATGAGGACAATAGCAAGTTTATCGTCCCCCAAGACAGCAAACTATTTTCCGAGGCGCAGCCGAGGGAAATAGTTTGCTGTCGAGGGGGACGATGAACTTGCTATTGTCCGAATAGTCAGTATAAATAGGTGTTTTATTATACCGATGCTGACTTTACTTTTGTTACGTCATAATTTATACGTCACAATCCATGTAAAATCAGAAGTTTTCAGATGAAAAGCGAGGGAAATCGATTGTTGCCGTTGAATAGTTTGAGGACTATTCACCATTGGGCAAATAGCACAAAAACTATTTCACGGTAGAGACTGTTTAGAAAAAATAGCATGTTTATTCGTCTTATTTTTATATAGAAAAAAATAAACAGAGGTATAATAATTAGATATATGTCCAAGTTTTGGTTCAACAAGTAAAATACATGAGGAATGTAAATATACGAGGGTTGTCCCAAAAAGTCGTAGACAGGGAATACAGTTTTGTTTCTCTTTGCTTTTTAAGTTTCTTTCCTTGTCATAGCAAAAAGTAACATTTTATGATCATGCAATTCAAGTTTCTTAATGATATCACATCTTATAAGAAAGTTTTGAAAAAATAAAGAAAGAATATAAGTGTACACCGGCGCACGAAAGCAAGCAAAAATTACGTATTTTATAACGCCGTGATCTCATTGTCTGCTTCACTTGGGTATTAACATTCAATAATTTTTTTAAGTGATAGACCACTCTTGATTACCGGACATATTTAAGTTCACTACTGTCCATTTGATTTTTACTTGTTTTTTTTTTAAAGCAGATCCAAATTTCAGTCAAAATTTAGTCGAAAGATCGCCTCACATTGTAGACAGCAGAGAATACTAATTGTTGGACGTTGTGCGCGGTCCAGATTGTTTCCAATCGTCTGCGTTTATCAAACAGTACTCTACTTCTTACATGCCGTAATTAACTATTTTTGAAACAGAAGAAAAACTCTCATTGAATAGCGTGCAATTTAAAAATAACTTCTTTATTGAAATCTGGTGTGTAACGTCACTTCTGTACTCTTTTTTCCCGTCTCTGATGTATATTAACCATACCCAACACAATTTATCACATCTCCGTGCGCCGACAAAGCGTTTGACGACGTCATTTTCATCATACTCAATTTCAACGATACTATGAAAATCATGACACCAATCGTCTGTTTCTAATGATATTTATATGAAATTTTGACATAATATTAATTTTTTTATTATGGTTTCAGTGATTTCAATTTGAGTTCAATGCATTACATAGTACTAAAGAAATAAAAGCAAATGTAATAGTTATATGCGTAAATTATTCCGAATTTTGTCCGTGCGCCGACAGGCCTTATCGGCCTTCATATAAATCGTTCTTATATTATTTATATGAAATATATGTATTTAAAAATTTACAATTTTAAAGAACATTGACTATATTATGTCTCTGCAAAATTTGGTAAGTATTGGTTGCATGTTTAAAAAATTATAAACATTGTCTACGACTTTTTGGGACAACCCTCGTATGTTTGGAATATGCTGAGATAACGAACAGTATTCTCGGTCAAAGTCCTTAAACGTTACAAAAGAGACGGGAAGCAATCACGGACCTCCAAAGCATCTGAGGTGGGATATTTTTTTTTATGTAGGAATACATGTCATGTCTATAGATTGCCAGTTTATTCAAGCTTTACAGATTATTTCTTGTTTCCAATCAGTGCTTTTGAATGATTTGCAACACAAAAATTATTACATACAGGGATATAATGTCACATGCAATAATTATTGAACAATATTTCAGAGTTGCCAGTCTTAAGATTACAAGGAGCCTTTTCTGAAAATGACGAAGTCACCATTTCCTACAGTGTTGTACATGAAGGCTACCAAAAGGTACACAGTATCAAATGGACAAAAGATGGCAATCTTTTGGACTTAAATAAACCAAAATATAGTGGTGGAGATTTGGAAAGCACATGTTTGAAAATCCTCTCACCAGAAAAAGACGACATTGGGGAATATGGTTGTGAAGTACCGAGTATTTTGGGATCTGTAAAGGAATCCTTAACACTAAGTACATATTCTACGTAAATTAACTCTTATTCTCTCGATCTCTTCTCTGTATGTTATTGAGATGTGTTTTCAAACATATATTGTTAATTAATCTTGAACATTCAACATGTCACCACACGGATAGCGTTTTTATTTATGAATATTTGTGTCCATATTCGCTTTTGTTTAGGATGAATGACCGTCAACACTTAAGCTTTTCTTTTTTCTTCATATTTATTGATTTTGATAGAAACCCTTTCATTTAATTAATATGTTTCTTTAAATAATTATAATTGTCATTGCATAGCTTAAATATTTGAACAACAACTCAATCTGTGTTGAAATCTTTGCTTCTAATTTTACTCTCTGTACGTCGTCCGATAATTATATTATCAATGTTATGCATAATTTAAAAGTCATAGGCCTCGAAACCGGGATGGGGGGGGGGGCTCTAGGAAGGTTTGCATAGCCCCTAATTTTTCTTTTGCTAATGTAGCCCTTATATACGCTTTGATCATGAAAATTAGGGTTTATCTGTTTTGTTGATTTAGTCCTCCCAGAAGTTTTAATTAGCCACCCATTTTCTAGTTGCTTCCAAAGCCTATGAAATTTATAGCTAGAAAAATATAAAGATAATGAAATATATGTCCAAGTTCTTGTACAAGCAAGTACGAATCATAAGGAATGTTAATATATGATTAAAATATTCTGCTATAACGAACAGTATTCTCGATCATAGTCCTTAAGCGTCATAAAATAAAAATAGGAACAAACACGGACCTCCAAAGCATCAGAGGGGGGATAACGTTTTTTATGTAGGGATACATGTCTTGTCTATAGATTGCTAGGTTATTCAAGCTTTGAAGATTTTTTCTACTTTCCAAGTGTTGATCGTGAATGATTTGCAACAAAATTTTACACATTATATAGGCTTTGATGAAGAAAATCAGGGTTTACCTTTTTTGTTGATCTACGCCGCCCACATCTTTTAATTGGCCACGCACTTTCAATTTAATTCTAACGCCTATGAAATTTTGAGCTAAAATTTATAGATAATATACACCTATTTACTGGCTATGAGGACAATAGCAAGTTTATCGTCCCCCAAGACAGCAAACCATTTTCCGAGGCGCAGCCGAGGGAAATAGTTTGCTGTCGAGGGGGACGATGAACTTGCTATTGTCCGAATAGTCAGTATAAATAGGTGTTTTATTATACCGATGCTGACTTTACTTTTGTTACGTCATAATTTATACGTCACAATCCATGTAAAATCAGAAGTTTTCAGATGAAAAGCGAGGGAAATCGATTGTTGCCGTTGAATAGTTTGAGGACTATTCACCATGGGCAAATAGCACAAAAACTATTTCACGGTAGAGACTGTTTAGAAAAAATAGCATGTTTATTCGTCTTATTTTTATATAGAAAAAAATAAACAGAGGTATAATAATTAGATATATGTCCAAGTTTTGGTTCAACAAGTAAAATACATGAGGAATGTAAATATACGAGGGTTGTCCCAAAAAGTCGTAGACAGGGAATACAGTTTTGTTTCTCTTTGCTTTTTAAGTTTCTTTCCTTGTCATAGCAAAAAGTAACATTTTATGATCATGCAATTCAAGTTTCTTAATGATATCACATCTTATAAGAAAGTTTTGAAAAAATAAAGAAAGAATATAAGTGTACACCGGCGCACGAAAGCAAGCAAAAATTACGTATTTTATAACGCCGTGATCTCATTGTCTGCTTCACTTGGGTATTAACATTCAATAATTTTTTTAAGTGATAGACCACTCTTGATTACCGGATATATTTAAGTTCACTACTGTCCATTTGATTTTTACTTGTTTTCTTTAAGCAGATCCAAATTTCAGTCAAAATTTAGTCAAAAGATCGTCTCACATTGTAGACAGCAGAGAATACTAATTGTTGGACGTCGTGCGCGGTCCAGATTGTTTCCAATCGTCTGCGTTTATCAAACAGTACTCTACTTCTTACATGCCGTAATTAACTATTTTTGAAACAGAAGAAAAACTCTCATTGAATAGCGTGCAATTTAAAAATAACTTTTTTATTGAAATCTGGTTTGTAATGTCACTTATGTACTCTTTTTTCCCGTCTCTGATGTATATTAACCATACCCAACACAATTTATCACATCTCCGTGCGCCGACAAAGCGTTTGACGACGTCATTTTCATCATACTCAATTTCAACGATACTATGAAAATCATGACACCAATCGTCTGTTTCTAATGATATTTATATGAAATTTTGACATAATATTAATTTTTTTATTATGGTTTCAGTGATTTCAATTTGAGTTCAATGCATTACATAGTACTAAAGAAATAAAAGCAAATGTAATAGTTATATGCGTAAATTATTCCGAATTTTGTCCGTGCGCCGACAGGCCTTATCGGCCTTCATATAAATCGTTCTTATATTATTTATATGAAATATATGTATTTAAAAATTTACAATTTTAAAGAACATTGACTATATTATGTCTCTGCAAAATTTGGTAAGTATTGGTTGCATGTTTAAAAAATTATAAACATTGTCTACGACTTTTTGGGACAACCCTCGTATGTTTGGAATATGCTGAGATAACGAACAGTATTCTCGGTCAAAGTCCTTAAACGTTACAAAAGAGACGGGAAGCAATCACGGACCTCCAAAGCATCTGAGGTGGGATATTTTTTTTTATGTAGGAATACATGTCATGTCTATAGATTGCCAGTTTATTCAAGCTTTACAGATTATTTCTTGTTTCCAATCGGTGCTTTTGAATGATTTGCAACACAAAAATTATTACATACAGGGATATAATGTCACATGCAATAATTATTGAACAATATTTCAGAGTTGCCAGTCTTAAGATTACAAGGAGCCTCTTCTGAAAATGACGAAGTCACCATTTCCTACAGTGTTGTACATGAAGGCTACCAAAAGGTACACAGTATCAAATGGACAAAAGATGGCAATCTTTTGGACTTAAATAAACCAAAATATAGTGGTGGAGATTTGGAAAGCACATGTTTGAAAATCCTCTCACCAGAAAAAGACGACATTGGGGAATATGGTTGTGAAGTACCGAGTATTTTGGGATCTGTAAAGGAATCCTTAACACTAAGTACATATTCTACGTAAATTAACTCTTATTCTCTCGATCTCTTCTCTGTATGTTATTGAGATGTGTTTTCAAACATATATTGTTAATTAATCTTGAACATTCAACATGTCACCACACGGATAGCGTTTTCATTTATGAATATTTGTGTCCATATTCGCTTTTGTTTAGGATGAATGACCGTCAACACTTAAGCTTTTCTTTTTTCTTCATATTTATTGATTTTGATAGAAACCCTTTCATTTAATTAATATGTTTCTTTAAATAATTATAATTGTCATTGCATAGCTTAAATATTTGAACAACAACTCAATCTGTGTTGAAATCTTTGCTTCTAATTTTACTCTCTGTACGTCGTCCGATAATTATATTATCAATGTTATGCATAATTTAAAAGTCATAGGCCTCGAAACCGGGATGGGGGGGGGGGCTCTAGGAAGGTTTGCATAGCCCCTAATTTTTCTTTTGCTAATGTAGCCCTTATATACACTTTGATCATGAAAATTAGGGTTTATCTGTTTTGTTGATTTAGTCCTCCCAGAAGTTTTAATTAGCCACCCATTTTCTAGTTGCTTCCAAAGCCTATGAAATTTATAGCTAGAAAAATATAAAGATAATGAAATATATGTCCAAGTTCTTGTACAAGCAAGTACGAATCATAAGGAATGTTAATATATGATTAAAATATTCTGCTATAACGAACAGTATTCTCGATCATAGTCCTTAAGCGTCATAAAATAAAAATAGGAACAAACACGGACCTCCAAAGCATCAGAGGGGGGATAACGTTTTTTATGTAGGGATACATGTCTTGTCTATAGATTGCTAGGTTATTCAAGCTTTGAAGATTTTTTCTACTTTCCAAGTGTTGATCGTGAATGATTTGCAACAAAATTTTACACATTATATAGGCTTTGATGAAGAAAATCAGGGTTTACCTTTTTTGTTGATCTACGCCGCCCACATCTTTTAATTGGCCACGCACTTTCAATTTAATTCTAACGCCTATGAAATTTTGAGCTAAAATTTATAGATAATATACACCTATTTACTGGCTATCAGGACAATAGCAAGTTTATCGTCCCCCAAGACAGCAAACTATTTTCCGAGGCGCAGCCGAGGGAAATAGTTTGCTGTCGAGGGGGACGATGAACTTGCTATTGTCCGAATAGTCAGTATAAATAGGTGTTTTATTATACCGATGCTGACTTTACTTTTGTTACGTCATAATTTATACGTCACAATCCATGTAAAATCAGAAGTTTTCAGATGAAAAGCGAGGGAAATCGATTGTTGCCGTTGAATAGTTTGAGGACTATTCACCATGGGCAAATAGCACAAAAACTATTTCACGGTAGAGACTGTTTAGAAAAAATAGCATGTTTATTCGTCTTATTTTTATATAGAAAAAAATAAACAGAGGTATAATAATTAGATATATGTCCAAGTTTTGGTTCAACAAGTAAAATACATGAGGAATGTAAATATACGAGGGTTGTCCCAAAAAGTCGTAGACAGGGAATACAGTTTTGTTTCTCTTTGCTTTTTAAGTTTCTTTCCTTGTCATAGCAAAAAGTAACATTTTATGATCATGCAATTCAAGTTTCTTAATGATATCACATCTTATAAGAAAGTTTTGAAAAAATAAAGAAAGAATATAAGTGTACACCGGCGCACGAAAGCAAGCAAAAATTACGTATTTTATAACGCCGTGATCTCATTGTCTGCTTCACTTGGGTATTAACATTCAATAATTTTTTTAAGTGATAGACCACTCTTGATTACCGGATATATTTAAGTTCACTACTGTCCATTTGATTTTTACTTGTTTTTTTTTTAAAGCAGATCCAAATTTCAGTCAAAATTTAGTCGAAAGATCGCCTCACATTGTAGACAGCAGAGAATACTAATTGTTGGACGTCGTGCGCGGTCCAGATTGTTTCCAATCGTCTGCGTTTATCAAACAGTACTCTACTTCTTACATGCCGTAATTAACTATTTTTGAAACAGAAGAAAAACTCTCATTGAATAGCGTGCAATTTAAAAATAACTTCTTTATTGAAATCTGGTGTGTAACGTCACTTCTGTACTCTTTTTTCCCGTCTCTGATGTATATTAACCATACCCAACACAATTTATCACATCTCCGTGCGCCGACAAAGCGTTTGACGACGTCATTTTCATCATACTCAATTTCAACGATACTATGAAAATCATGACACCAATCGTCTGTTTCTAATGATATTTATATGAAATTTTGACATAATATTAATTTTTTTATTATGGTTTCAGTGATTTCAATTTGAGTTCAATGCATTACATAGTACTAAAGAAATAAAAGCAAATGTAATAGTTATATGCGTAAATTATTCCGAATTTTGTCCGTGCGCCGACAGGCCTTATCGGCCTTCATATAAATCGTTCTTATATTATTTATATGAAATATATGTATTTAAAAATTTACAATTTTAAAGAACATTGACTATATTATGTCTCTGCAAAATTTGGTAAGTATTGGTTGCATGTTTAAAAAATTATAAACATTGTCTACGACTTTTTGGGACAACCCTCGTATGTTTGGAATATGCTGAGATAACGAACAGTATTCTCGGTCAAAGTCCTTAAACGTTACAAAAGAGACGGGAAGCAATCACGGACCTCCAAAGCATCTGAGGTGGGATATTTTTTTTTATGTAGGAATACATGTCATGTCTATAGATTGCCAGTTTATTCAAGCTTTACAGATTATTTCTTGTTTCCAATCGGTGCTTTTGAATGATTTGCAACACAAAAATTATTACATACAGGGATATAATGTCACATGCAATAATTTTTGAACAATATTTCAGAGTTGCCAGTCTTAAGATTACAAGGAGCCTCTTCTGAAAATGACGAAGTCACCATTTCCTACAGTGTTGTACATGAAGGCTACCAAAAGGTACACAGTATCAAATGGACAAAAGATGGCAATCTTTTGGACTTAAATAAACCAAAATATAGTGGTGGAGATTTGGAAAACACATGTTTGAAAATCCTCTCACCAGAAGAAGACGACATTGGGGAATATGGTTGTGAAGTACCGAGTATTTTGGGATCTGTAAAGGAATCCTTAACACTAAGTACATATTCTACGTAAATTAACTCTTATTCTCTCGATCTCTTCTCTGTATGTTATTGAGATGTGTTTTCAAACATATATTGTTAATTAATCTTGAACATTCAACATGTCACCACACGGATAGCGTTTTTATTTATGAATATTTGTGTCCATATTCGCTTTTGTTTAGGATGAATGACCGTCAACACTTAAGCTTTTCTTTTTTCTTCATATTTATTGATTTTGATAGAAACCCTTTCATTTAATTAATATGTTTCTTTAAATAATTATAATTGTCATTGCATAGCTTAAATATTTGAACAACAACTCAATCTGTGTTGAAATCTTTGCTTCTAATTTTACTCTCTGTACGTCGTCCGATAATTATATTATCAATGTTATGCATAATTTAAAAGTCATAGGCCTCGAAACCGGGATGGGGGGGGGGCTCTAGGAAGGTTTGCATAGCCCCTAATTTTTCTTTTGCTAATGTAGCCCTTATATACACTTTGATCATGAAAATTAGGGTTTATCTGTTTTGTTGATTTAGTCCTCCCAGAAGTTTTAATTAGCCACCCATTTTCTAGTTGCTTCCAAAGCCTATGAAATTTATAGCTAGAAAAATATAAAGATAATGAAATATATGTCCAAGTTCTTGTACAAGCAAGTACGAATCATAAGGAATGTTAATATATGATTAAAATATTCTGCTATAACGAACAGTATTCTCGATCATAGTCCTTAAGCGTCATAAAATAAAAATAGGAACAAACACGGACCTCCAAAGCATCAGAGGGGGGATAACGTTTTTTATGTAGGGATACATGTCTTGTCTATAGATTGCTAGGTTATTCAAGCTTTGAAGATTTTTTCTACTTTCCAAGTGTTGATCGTGAATGATTTGCAACAAAATTTTACACATTATATAGGCTTTGATGAAGAAAATCAGGGTTTACCTTTTTTGTTGATCTACGCCGCCCACATCTTTTAATTGGCCACGCACTTTCAATTTAATTCTAACGCCTATGAAATTTTGAGCTAAAATTTATAGATAATATACACCTATTTACTGGCTATGAGGACAATAGCAAGTTTATCGTCCCCCAAGACAGCAAACTATTTTCCGAGGCGCAGCCGAGGGAAATAGTTTGCTGTCGAGGGGGACGATGAACTTGCTATTGTCCGAATAGTCAGTATAAATAGGTGTTTTATTATACCGATGCTGACTTTACTTTTGTTACGTCATAATTTATACGTCACAATCCATGTAAAATCAGAAGTTTTCAGATGAAAAGCGAGGGAAATCGATTGTTGCCGTTGAATAGTTTGAGGACTATTCACCATTGGGCAAATAGCACAAAAACTATTTCACGGTAGAGACTGTTTAGAAAAAATAGCATGTTTATTCGTCTTATTTTTATATAGAAAAAAATAAACAGAGGTATAATAATTAGATATATGTCCAAGTTTTGGTTCAACAAGTAAAATACATGAGGAATGTAAATATACGAGGGTTGTCCCAAAAAGTCGTAGACAGGGAATACAGTTTTGTTTCTCTTTGCTTTTTAAGTTTCTTTCCTTGTCATAGCAAAAAGTAACATTTTATGATCATGCAATTCAAGTTTCTTAATGATATCACATCTTATAAGAAAGTTTTGAAAAAATAAAGAAAGAATATAAGTGTACACCGGCGCACGAAAGCAAGCAAAAATTACGTATTTTATAACGCCGTGATCTCATTGTCTGCTTCACTTGGGTATTAACATTCAATAATTTTTTTAAGTGATAGACCACTCTTGATTACCGGACATATTTAAGTTCACTACTGTCCATTTGATTTTTACTTGTTTTTTTTTTAAAGCAGATCCAAATTTCAGTCAAAATTTAGTCAAAAGATCGCCTCACATTGTAGACAGCAGAGAATACTAATTGTTGGACGTCGTGCGCGGTCCAGATTGTTTCCAATCGTCTGCGTTTATCAAACAGTACTCTACTTCTTACATGCCGTAATTAACTATTTTTGAAACAGAAGAAAAACTCTCATTGAATAGCGTGCAATTTAAAAATAACTTCTTTATTGA